GCTTGGTATGTGACTCCTCCATTGATCCAATTAGTTTTTGTTCTAGTGCTTTATTCATTGCAAATCCTTGATGCCTTGGTGACCCTGTTCTTGAGCTTGCATGTTAAATTTATGAGGTCCCAAGTAATTCTAATGCATGATATAGGCTCTAGGCACTTGTAGGAGTAGTTGCTATCAATCTTGTTCAGTTTTATTTACTTTTATTTTGAAGTTACTAAAAATTTTAGAAATATTGCAGAAAAAGAAATATGTTTAGGAAAATGTACCAAGGTGGTTCTTCAAGAAAGAAAGGACCCAGGAGCGTGATACGTGATGCGGACGACAAACTACCAAGGGAAGCTGATGTACGGCCTTGTGAATGGCCGTCAGAGCCGTTTATGGTTGCAGCGGGTATCAAGGATAAATTTGACGCATATGTGCGTAATGCCGACCTTGAGGCATTCATGCAAGATAAGTGCTCGCAGTACCGATGTTTAACTGATTCATTTGTGAGAAGGTTTAAATTTACATCCTCGCGCAATTCTCAAAGTGTCCTGTTTGATATTTATGATAAATCATATACCATGGACCTAGAAGATTTTACTACTGCTTGCAAACTTCCGTAGTGGGGCAATGTTAATGATCCCAACAAATCTGAATTTAAAGACTTCCTTGCTAGTATCATTGTGGGAGAATCTAGGGAAATAACACAAGCTACCATAGGGAGCATTCGTTTTCCTTCCATACATTATTTTGCTCTCTTCATTGGTAGATGTATTAATGGCAAAGACTAAGCATGTCACATGTGTGTCCTTGATTTGTGTGTTCTCAAGAGTGTTGTATTAGGTGATAAACAATACAACTTAGGGGCAATTGTTGCACGTAGGTTGCATCATAATGCTTTAGCTGGAAACATTTTAAGAGGAATTTATGCAACCCGTGTGGCTAATTATCTTGAGATACCTATACATGAAAATGATACAGAATTGCTTCCTACTTATTTAGATCATAATGCTATCATTAGGCATCAATTTCTTGAAAGGAATGACCAATTCCTCCAATACCGACTAATTTTTGACAGAAGCCGTGCTGTCCATATTACTCTCCCTGCTCCTACCCTTTTTGATTATCAGGCAAAATGAAGATATGTTGTCACCAAGGAGGAGGCAAATGAACACGAGAGGAGGGCGGAAGCAGCCCGCCGTCAGGCAGCAGCTGAGGAGGCAATGACTGCTACATCTCAGTACGACCCCAGTTACAACTACGGATATAAGTCAGGCTATCCATGGCCATAGACCAACTTAGGCCAAAAGCCTAAGCTTGGGGGAGTACGTATTTCTCACCGACTTTACATTCATGTTCACACACTATTCTAGTTGTCGGTGCTCATACTCTTTCATTGTACTATCCATGCCAGCTTAATTTTTTTTCCTGTTTTCTTATTGTGTGTTTGATAAACCTATTAAAAAACCAAAAAAATTAGTTAGTTTAATTTCCATGCCTATAGTAGTAATAATTAAAAGAAAACCCAAAAAGATTTCCCGTTCTTCTTTTACTTGTTGGGAGCTTTCCCGTGTAAATAGTTTTATTTCTTTTGTTTCCTTTGGGGGTCGAGAGTAGAAGACCATATTGAAAATGTTTACTGGCTCTCATATGCATGATTGTTTATTTTAACCAAGAGCCCATATTATCTTGCCTTCTCTCTTGAAATGGATGCTTGCAGATTCCAGCTTAGTCCAATGCACGTGCACTTTTATTATTATACACACCATTCGGTCATGCAAGTGAAAGGCAATAATGACGATATATGATGGACTGATTGAGATGAGAGAAGCTGGTATGAACTCGACCTCTTTTGTTTTTGTAAATATGATGAGTCATCATTCTTGATTCAGCCTATTATGAATAAACATGTTTGCAATGACATTTAGAGTTTTCAGTTGCTTATGCCATGCTTAATTAGCTATGAGTTATAATGATTTACCTTGCATACCAACATGCTATTAAAATGATTGTGATGTGGTATGATGAGATGGTATCCTCCTTTGAATGCATTGAGTGACTCGACTTGGCACATGTTCACGCATGTAGTTGAAACAAAATCAACATAGCCTCCACGATATTTATGTTCATGGTGGATTATATCCTACTCATGCTTGCACTTAGTGTAAATTAATTTTAATGCATGTTCATGACTGTTGTCGCTCTCTCAGTTGGTCGCTTTCCAGTCTTTTGCTAGCCTTCACCTGTACTAAGCAGGAATACTGCTTGTGCATCCAAACTCCATGAACCCCAAAGTTATTCCATATGAGTCCACTATACCTTCCTATATGTGGTATTTACCTGCCGTTCCAAGTAAATTTGTATGTGCTAAACTCGAAACCTTCAAATAAAATTCTATTTTGTATGCTCGAGCAGCTCATGTTCCAACTAGGGTTGTCCGTATCTTCCATGCTAGGTGGGTTATTCTCAAGAGGAGTGGACTCAGCTCCTCATTCACGAGAAAATGGCTGGTAACCGGGATGCCCAGTCTCATGATCCTAAAAGATCAAAGCAAATCAAAATAATTAAAAAAACTCCCCCAGGATTGTTGTTAGTTGGAGGCACTCGTTGTTTCGAGCAAGCCATGGATTGATGCCTGTTGGTGGTGGGGGAGTATAAACTTTACTATTCTATTTGGGAACCGCCTATAATGCATGTAGTATGGAAGATATCGCCATCTCATAGTTGTTGCGTTGACAGTGAAAGTATGTCGCTCAAAATGTTATTTATCTCTCTATTTCAAAATCGAGCTCTAGCACCTCTACAAATCCCTGCTTCCCTATGCGAAGGGCCTATCTATTTACTTTTATGTTGAGTCATCACTCTCTTATTAAAAAGCACCCGCTCGAGAGCACACTATCATTTGCATGCATTACTGTTAGTTTATATTGGGTATGACTTGACTAGATCTCTTTTACCATGAATTACAATGTTTAGTCAGTCCTTGATCTTTAAAGGTGCTCTTCATTTATGTTTTGCGGTCTCAGAAAGGGCTAGCGAGATACCATTTTGTTATATCATATTATGATTGTTTTGAGAAAGTGTTGTCATCCGAGTTTTATTATTATCGCTCGCTAGTTGATTATGCCATTGATATGAGTAAACATGAGACCTGAGTGTTATTGAAAATATGGTTAGTTCATAATCTTTGTTGAAACCTAGAATACTGGCTTTACATATTTACAACAACAAGAGCAAACAGAGTTTGTAAAAGTTTTTCTTTATCACTTTCAGTTTGTCAACTGAATTGCTTGAGGACAAGCAAAGGTTTACGCTTGGGGGAGTTAATACATCTCCAACGTATCTAATTTTCCAAACACTTTTGCCCTTGTTTTGGACTCTAATTTGCATGATTCGAATGAAACTAACCCGGACTGACGTTGTTTTCAGCAGAACTGCCATGGTGTTATTTTTATGCAGAAACAAAAGTTCTCGGAATGACCTGAAAATCCTCAGAGATAAGTTTCAGAAAATATAAAAAATATTGGCAAAAGATGAACCCAGGGGCCCACACCCTGCCCACGAGGGTGGCCCCCCTATAGGGCGCGCCCCCTGTCTCGTGGGCCCCTAGATGCTCCATCGACCTCAACTCCAACTCCATATATTCCGTTTCGCGGAGAAAAAAACCAAAGAGGAAGTTTCATCGCGTTTTATGATACAGAGCCGCCGCCAAGCCCTAAAACCTCTCGGGAGGCTGATCTGGAGTCCGTTCGGGGCTCTAGAGAGGGGGATTCATCACCGTCGTCATCATCAACCATCCTCCATCACCAATTTCATGATGCTCACCGCCGTGCATGAGTAATTCCATCATAGGCTTGCTGGACGGTGATGGGTTGGATGAGATTTACCATGTAATTAAGTTAGATTTGTTAAGGTTTGATCCCTAGTATCCACTATGTTCTGAGATTGATGTTGCTAAGACTTTGCTATGCTTAATGCTTGTCACTAGGGCCCGAGTGTCGTGATTTCAGATCTGAACCTATTATGTTTTCATGAATATATGTGAGTTCTTGATCCTATCTTGCAAGTCTATAGTCACCTATTATGTGTTATGATCCGACAACCCCGAAGTGACAATAATTGGGATACTTCTCGGTGATGACCGTAGTTTGAGGAGTTCATGTATTCACTATGTGTTAATGCTTTGGTCTGGTACTCTATTAAAAGGAGGCCTTAATATCCCTTAGTTTCCCCCTATAAGCACGTATGACTATATTCGGAATACATGCCTACATTACATTGATGAACTGGAGCTAGTTCTGTTTCACCCTATGTTATAGCTATTACATGAGGAATCACATCCGACATAATTATCCATCACTGATCCAATGCCTATGAGCTTTTCATATATTGTGCTTCGCTTATTTACTTTTCCGCTGCTACTGTTACAAGCACTACCATACTGCTATCTTTACCTTTGCTACTGTTACCATTACTATCATACTACTTTGCTACTAAATACTTTGCTGCAGATACTAAGTTATCCAGGTGTGGTTGAATTGACAACTCAAGTGCTAATACTTAAGAATATTCTTTGGCTCTCCTTATGTCGAATCAATAAATTTGGGTTGAATACTCTACCCTCAAAAGCTGTTGCGACCCCCTACACTTGTGGGTTATCAATGATGCATATGCATTACAATAAAGATATCAATCATATCATTTTGATCATAGGAAACACAACTATGGAGAATATTACACCATAGCATTTGCATTAATTCGGCGAAAGAAAAATATCTTGTGGATGATATTACAATTTTAAATCTATCAATGTAAACTGCAACTATTTGTAGCTAAAATCTTCAAATTTTGTTTGCTTCTTGATCCAAGAATTCAGCTGCAACTCAACTATCCTTCTCTTGAATCTGTAAAAGAAAATTGCAGCTTAGATATGTGTGATTAAATGTACACAAATATGATTTTAGAATGTGGAAGGGAAGATTTTAACTTACAAAAGCTGAAGGCCAGGCAGTTAAGTATCATGAAGTGAAAGCCTCACTAAATGTCTTGCAATCAGAAACTTCCCTTACCAACTCCTCATTATCAACTATAGGTTGATCTATGCGCACAAGGGCAAATTCAACACCTAACTCAATACCACCAACCTTAGTTCTTGGATCATTACTCCGAATTGTACCATACGCAACATTCCTCTTGTTGGGATATGTTGAAGTCTTTAAAACTACTTTGGAGGCAGCCTATATTATGATCAATATTAGCACTCTACGACATGATAATATAATTTGCATGAACAATATGAGATCTTTTTAATGACAGACCAGTAAGGTGCCCTAAAAAACTAAATAAACTAGACCTGGCAACAAAGTCTAATGCCCAAGGTCACCTCGCTTGCTCATGCTTGGTTAAATGTATCCTTTACTTGCATACAGCAGATTGAGCAAAATTTGTAACAAAATCCATTTTTCAAGCAGGCATCATAATGCAGTTTGGGTTGGGAATTTGGGTGCTGTAAACCATGCTCCTTGGTGAATCTTTACCTTGATGGAAGAAGTGCGCCTTCTTTTTGAGCGAGCTGGGTGTGGGTGTTCAGTTCTAGTCCCTTGCTGGTTCGGTCTTGAAACAGATTCACCCGTAAGATCCCTCGTTTCCCTCACCTACCAAGATACAATAATATTAGATGGAATGATATTCATACCTTGAAGCTACAGAAAGCTACAACTTCAAAACTCAAAAGGCACAAAAATTACCTCTAGGACATAATCAATAACAAGGTACAGAAAGGGATCGTAAATGTGAACTAAGTAGGAGCTCCCTAGACGGGTTTTTTTCTGCATAGTACAGAAAGTCAATTGCTTGAAAGCCAACTTCCTCAATCATCAAGATTAAATCATAATATGAGACATGACGCCTCATCATGGATCATTGTAAAATTTTGGCTTCCTGATTTGTATCTTCATAGTGCAGGTATATGGTCAACATGCCCGTGGCCATCCTAGATATATATAAAAATGTTGATTAAACCATTACAAGTAAAGACAAATTAACTAATGACATAACAGGGACAATTTAATTTGCCAATAGACATGTGAATGGAGAGGGCAGTGAAGGACACAGTAGCACGTCAATGCACTATCAACTTATCATAACTCAAAACAGAGAGATGAGGTACAAGACCATGGGTCCAGCCACACCCACACTCAGATATAACGCTGTCGGCATATGGATTCGGGACATGTTTAAGTTAAAAGTGTACAGATTATGCAAACTGAGCATTATTCAACCGACAGCTAACATTATGTTAAGCACTAGCTGATAGAAGAGCAGCGACATGTTGCCTCATGTGTCATCCCAATAAGTCGTTCAAGAAGCAACAACCGTGTCCAGTGTGCCAACGAATAATACTAGTGTGGATGTTCGCCATGATATTGCTACATCAGGCCAACTATTCGGGGCGATATAAAACCCATCACTACGTCAGGGACACTGAAAAATTGACTGAAATGCAAATATACCAAATAATTTAAAGATGGGCGAGCTGTCAAAATCTTCAAAGAAGCTAGATGCTCCTACAAGTAGAGGAACTGATGATGTTGACTGCTTCCCTAAACAGAAGGGGAAACGAAAGTACATAGGATCATCAGGTGATGGTGCAAATCTTAAGCATTTTCTCTGTTCCTAATTTCAGTCATTTCATCTAGTGGTTCAATTTATGCAGTCGAAACTGTTGCAGTAGATCGGCGGCATCAAATCAAAGAGCAGAGTAGGGTTTGATCATGATTAACCAGTTTAAGGTCTGTCATATTTCTCAAGAAGTCTGATCAAATTTAAACAATAGTCAATGGATCGATCTAGCAGAAGTGTAAAACAGTACATGGCAAAACTATAGTTAGACACAACCGTACATGGTTTATGGGCTTTCCTACATCAGTGCTTGTTTAATTATTTGTCTACGTATGGGATAATTACGCAATTAGCTGCGGCCATTAGGCATCTACAGTACATACTGTCCTATGAATTGTTGAGGGGCGAGCAATTGGCAGGGGTCTGACCCCTGCTCGCCCCTCCCTGTCTCCACCCCTGCATCGGTACAATGATGTTTCACCTAGCATGCACCCCATAGAATTCCTAGCAGTCAGATCAGGGAAGGGGTGGGCGTCCAGATCCATACCAGACACGAGATTGTACTCCTTCAGGATGTAGGTGCCGGAGCTGAACACCGACGAAGCGGCACCGAGGCAGGTCGAGGAAG